GAAAATATAAAAAAAAACAGTACCTATATTAGACGCTCTTCAACTTGAATATATCACAGTGTAGCTTAAATAGATACGTTAAGTATTCCTATAGTCGGTTATGAAAGTTTTTATTTTTTCCAAGAATACTGACCTCAATACAACACAAATATAAATTAAGACTGTCCAGAGGTCAGTCTTAATTTGTGAATACTTGGTCCACCAGGCTGTTGCTTGGAGCGGCCCGCAGGCACACATGTCCACCACAGCCCGGTTGGTCCGGTACTTCTTGGAGAAACATATCTAGTTCTTATTAGCACCACCGTTTTTGTTCCAGTAATATCTTTTACGTTTGCTGAAATTTTTTTAAAGAGCCGTGGACCTGTGATGGTCATCCAGTGCTCTGTGATTGTGTATATGGCACCTCTACTCTTCACTGGGTCTACTCTTCATCATGTCGTAGCTCAATTGATTAAGGCCTACGTCTGAGAGCATCCGTCTGGGATGCTCTGGGACGTAGTGTTCGAATCCTTGCCACGGCCCTTGTGGATTTGTTCATTCACTGGGTCTGTTCTGGACTTTATACTGCATCTTTCACTCTAGTGTGCTGTTATTTTGCCGAGTACATAATGAACCTGGCTCTCCTGTATCTCCCATATATATATTATGTGATACCTCTCTTGTCTCATTTCCAGAGAGTACATTTTGAGAGCGTTGAGACTGTCCCAATAGTTTAGGTGCTTTATCGTTCCCGTTAAATGTGACGATAATCTCCTTCAAGAGATTGAGCCTGCTCTTCCCTCCAAAAGACGTCGATATAAACATCTATATAAAACAAGTATGGAAGAAAAATCCAACAACGACAACACCAGCAAGGTTTGCCAGAGCGCAAAACGTATGCAGCCAGGAACACCTGCTCCACCTCAAACCGCCAAACTACCTGTCTTGTCGCCGGCTCCTCGCTGATTGGCCGCGGGTCTAGCTGCAACTGCACTCTACCCACCATACTACTTGATGTCTGGGGCCGCCACGACCTCGGTCTTCAGAATATCCCGTGCTTTCGACAGGTTAACACGTCTCGTTGGTAGACTAAAGCCCCAGGCTTATGTGTACTAAGAGAAGTGATAGCTTGAAGCCAATATTCCGGCACCTACTTACTTTATTTTTGCCATACTCTTGTTATTTGTTCACTTGTCTTAACGTAACTTTTCATTTTGTCATTCGATTATTCTTATTACTTTGATTGATTTTATTATACGAATTTGTACGTCCATTTTATTCATGTTTTGTTTTCTTTAACGTAATTAAAATTTCATTGTTAAAATTTACTTGTGTTTGTGTGTCTTCTCCTTACCTTACCACAGACGAAGTTCCAGATTTTCTATTTTTTTTCTATATGTGACGAGGCCATACCCCTAGCTTTGAACAGCCGAACACCAACGCGTTACCGTCACAATAAATATCGGAATTTATTGGAGTACCCGTGGCGCAGTGGTAACACACTGTTCGAATCATGGCCGGGGAGGATTGACTGGGCACCAATTCTTAACTGTAGCCTCTGTTCACCCAGCAGGGAATGGGTACCTGGTTGTTAAACGATTCGGCGGGGTCATATTCCGGGGAACATAAGGATTAAGGACCTGCCCCAACCGCTGTACGTGCTATAGTGGCTCTACAAGAATGTAAGAACTCTTGGATTCATAAATAAATACCAAAAAATCGCGTCTTTGTGTGTGCCGTATGTTCTCTGTTTCCTAATATTTCAAAATATTTCTTGATCTAAAAGGGGAAGTGAGTACCGAGCAGCACTGAAGTTGAAAAACTAGAAATGATTTGAATAGCAGAAGCATTGTGGTGAAGCCCCTGGCCTTGAAGGTTTCCATAACTCATGCTCTCATTTTTCTGGCTGACGATCTGCCTGATTTGTTATGCTGATTAGACATTAGTCAGATGGCCTGGCGTTATTCCCAGATCCTTTACATGTTTTTCCTTCTGTGAAGAGAGCTGATCGTCTCTTGTTCCCTGTATTTCGTTTAAGTTATTTTTTAACATACCAAAGTGTCTTGAATTCATCACTTTTTAAAAATCATGTTGTTTACTGCTGCAAACCGAAGGTTATTGGCTTTTAGTTTCTCAGTGTCTTCCTCAGAGGTAACTTTCCTGCTGATGTTGTAATCGTCTGCAGTTCAGAAAGAATAAATATCCTTCTAATACTCCTTGGGGAGGTGAGTGTCGACGGGGGTAGAAATAGCCTTGGCTACTTTATCCCTTTGAGATGTATTTTTTTCTTGTCTCAATAAACATACTTGAACTTGGGAGGTGGTCATGTTGCATCATGGTTGTGGCCACCACAACCTTGGTGGAGGTGGTTATGTTGCATCATGGTTGTGGCCACCACAACCTTGGTGGAGGTGGTCATGTTGCATCATGGTTGTGGCCACCACAACCTTGGTGGAGGTGGTCATGTTGCATCATGGTTGTGGCCACCACAACCTTGGTGGAGGTGGTCATGTTGCATCAGGGTTGTGGCCACCACAACCTTGGTGGAGGTGGTCATGTTGCATCAGGGTTGTGGCCACCACAACCTTGGTGGAGGTGGTGATGTTGCATCAGGGTTGTGGCCACCACAACCTCTTACAATCCACCAGCACGTTGTAATGACTTTAATGTTTGTTAGGTGGAATGAGGAAGAATAAGAAATGGGGCGTGAAGTAGAGGAATAAAGGGGAAGTGAGATGACAGAGAAGGAGAGGGGAAGAGGCTCATGGAGAAGGATTAAGAGCAGAGGAGTAAACAAACGACAGAGAAAGAGTCAAGAGAGGAAAGAGGAAGAGTATCAAAAAAAAATAGAAGTGAAAGAGAAAGGCAGTAATAATAATAATTCATTTGGTCGTGGGGACAGGCAGAGTGTGTGTGTATACATGTCAAGCCTGAATCGACGTCCCCTCCCCCCTAAAGGTGGCACTGCTGACCCTCGCCAAGGATGCCACCCCACAACTGCTGCCTAACTCCCGGGCACCTCTAAAGGATACCTGATCAACCAGGCTGTGACTCATACGTCAGGCTGCGAGCAGCCGCGTCCAACAGCCTGGTTGACCAGTCCAGTAACGAGGAGCCCTGGTCGAGGAACGGGCCGCATGGGACGCTAAGCCCTGAAATCATCTCAAGGTAACCTCAAGGTAAGGTCCCTATTTACAGCTAGGTGAACAGTGGCAGTAGATGATAGGGAATGTGCCCAACCATTTCAGTTCCCCCTCCCACCCATCCTCCTCTTCCCTCACAAGTTAGTAGTTGATATTTATTTCGTTTACAAATAATAATCTTAATTCAATTTGCGATAGTTGAATCATTAGCAGGAGACTGGGAAGACTGCACAAGTGACTGACTCACATACTCACAAAACATTTTCCTGGGAAACACAGGATACCTCATAATACCTCACACTCATCACTCACTGAGGTCTATGATGATGAGTCGACCGGAGAGGGGAAGGGGGTCTATCTTCTCTTATCTTGAGATGATTTCGGGGCTATAGTGTCCCCGCGGCCCGGTCCTCGACCAGGCCTCCACCCCCAGGAAGCAGTCCGTGACAGCTGACTAACACCCAGGTACCTATTTTACTGCTAGGTAACAGGGGCATAGAGTGAAAGAAACTTTGCCCATTGTTTCCCGCCGGCGCCTGGGATCGAACCCGGGACCACATGATCACAAGTCCAGCGTGCTGTCCGCTCGGCCGACCGGCTCTATGCTGAGGACGTGGAACAACCCGACGTCCTCCTAACACGACGTCCCATTTTGACGTGCACTTTACCTAAGGCCAAAAATCGTCGTAATATAAAATGAAAGCGGCTCGCGAAATTGACTTACTGTCCTGTTTTATGTTTTGTGTCCTCTGGTAGGTTAGGAGGAGGAGGACGGACTGGACTCTGGGGCTGGGTGTTAGCTCTCAAGGTGAGAGCTAACATTGATTCTAAAGAGTGATTCTAAAATATAATCACTTATTATAGTGTTACAACGTTAGTAACGAAACGTATTTATTAACAATTAACGCAGCGCAATATTGACGTTGTCAATACGTCAACCTTGACAAGTTAGGGAGCTTGGAGTCTTATATTTCTGGTTAGACAAAACAGTTCCAATTTTTTACGGAGTAGCAAATGGTTAGAAATGACCTGGCCAGCAACATGGTAGTGAACCATGGTTTACGGTGATCAGGGTCGCCAATCAACCATGGTTTACGGTGATCAGGGTCGCCAATCAACCATGGTTTACGGTGATCAGGGTCGCCAATCAACCATGGTTTACGGTGATCAGGGTCGCCAATCAACCATGGTTTACGGTGATCAGGGTCGCCAATCAACCATGGTTTACGGGTGATCAGGGTCGCCAATCAACCATGGTTTATGGTGATCAGGGTCGCCAATCAACCATGGTTTATGGTGATCAGGGTCGCCAATCAACCATGGTTTACGGGTGATCAGGGTCGCCAATCAACCATGGTTTACGGGTGATCAGGGTCGCCAATCAACCATGGTTTACGGGTGATCAGGGTCGCCAATCAACCATGGTTTACGGTGATCAGGGTCGCCAATCAACCATGGTTTACGGTGATCTGGGTCGCCAATCAACCATGGTTTACGGTGATCAGGGTCGCCAATCAACCATGGTTTACAATGTTTATTTTCAGAATACAGAAGTCAGATCATCCTCAGCCCTACCTTCTGCGTCTGACTTCCTTCCTTGCATCAATATATCCCGTAGAAAATGATAATATTGATCTTCTCAGTTTTCTTGAATCCTAAAAATCGATGTTGTCGGCCTAGTGGATGGATGGATGGATGAGTGGATCAGGTTGGATGTTGTGGTGGATGTGAGTGGATGAACGGATGGTCTGAGATGAGCACTGAGAGAACAACAGCTGAGGTTAAGGAGTCATATATTTAACGACCCAATTTCCAGATTTAATTAAGATTCGCTTCAGCTGCCCAGGAGTAAATATTAGCATACGCTTGAGTTATTTATTATAAATGGTCCAGTGGTCGTAGGTCCAGAGGTCGTAGGTCCAGGGGTCGTAGGTCCAGGGGTCGTAGGTCCAGGAGTCGTAGGTCCAGGAGTCGTAGGTCCAGGGGTCGTAGGTCCAGAGGTCGTTGGTCCAGGGATCGTTGGTCCAGGGATCGTAGGTCCAGAGGTCGTTGGTCCAGGGATCGTAGGTCCAGGGGTCGTAGGTCCAGGGGTCGTTGGTCCAGAGGTCGTAGGTCCAGAGGTCGTAGGTCCGAGGTCGTAGGTCCGAGGTCGTTGGTCCAGAGGTCGTTGGTCCAGAGGTCGTAGGTCCAGAGGTCGTAGGTCCGAGGTCGTAGGTCCAGAGGTCGTAGGTCCAGAGGTCGTAGGTCCAGAGGTCGTTGGTCCAGAGGTCGTTGGTCCAGAGGTCGTAGGTCCAGAGGTCGTAGGTCCAGAGGTCGTAGGTCCAGAGGTCGTAGGTCCAGAGGTCGTAGGTCCAGAGGTCGTAGGTCCAGAGGTCGTAGGTCCAGAGGTCGTAGGTCCAGAGGTCGTAGGTCCAGAGGTCGTAGGTCCAGAGGTCGTTGGTCCAGAGGTCGTTGGTCCAGAGGTCGTAGGTCCAGAGGTCGTAGGTCCAGAGGTCGTAGGTCCAGAGGTCGTAGGTCCAGAGGTCGTTGGTCCAGAGGTCGTTGGTCCAGTGATCGTAGGTCCAGTGGTCGTTGGTCCAGAGGTCGTTGGTCCAGAGGTCGTTGGTCCAGAGGTCGTTGGTCCAGAGGTCGTTGGTCCAGAGGTCGTTGGTCCATAGGTCGTTGGTTCATAGGTCGTTGGTCCAGAGGTCGTTGGTCCAGAGGTCGTTGGTCCAGAGGTCGTAGGTCCAGAGGTTGTTGGTCCAGAGGTCGTTGGTCCATAGGTCGTTGGTCCAGAGGTCGTAGGTCGAGTTGGTCCGTCGCCTGGTATAGGAATTTGTGCTAGGACTCCCAGCCACCTCACTGCACTGGGTGCCCCAGTGGTGCTGTACTGGGTGCTCCAGTGGTGCTGTACTGGGTGCTCCAGTGGTGCTGTACTGGGTGCTCCAGTGGTGCTGTACTGGGTGCTCCAGTGGTGCTGTACTGGGTGCCCCAGTGGTGCTGTACTGGGTGCTCCAGTGGTGCTGTACTGGGTGCCCCAGTGGTGCTGTACTGGGTGCCCCAGTGGTGCTGTACTGGGTGCCCCAGTGGTGCTGTACTGGGTGCTCCAGTGGTGCTGTACTGGGTGCCCCAGTGGTGCTGTACTGGGTGCCCCAGTGGTGCTGTACTGGGTGCCCCAGTGGTGCTGTACTGGGTGCCCCAGTGGTGCTGTACTGGGTGCCCCAGTGGTGCTGTACTAGGTGCCCCAGTGGTGCTGTACTGGGTGCCCCAGTGGTGCTGTACTGGGTGCCCCAGTGGTGCTGTACTGGGTGCCCCAGTGGTGCTGTACTGGGTGCCCCTTTGACGCTGTACTGGGTGCCCCAGTGGTGCTGTACTGGGTGCCCCAGTGGTGCTGTACTGGGTGCCCCAGTGGTGCTGTACTGGGTGCCCCAGTGGTGCTGTACTGGGTGCCCCAGTGGTGCTGTACTGGGTGCCCCAGTGGTGCTGTACTGGGTGCTCCAGTGGTGCTGTACTGGGTGCTCCAGTGGTGCTGTACTGGGTGCCCCTTTGACGCTGTACTGGGTGCCCCAGTGGTGCTGTACTGGGTGCCCCAGTGGTGCTGTACTGGGTGCTCCAGTGGTGCTGTACTGGGTGCTCCAGTGGTGCTGTACTGGGTGCTCCAGTGGTGCTGTACTGGGTGCCCCAGTGGTGCTGTACTGGGTGCTGCAGTGACGCTGGCTAACCCTGTCCATGGAGGACAGAAGAAAATGTATATATGCTGGTTAGCATTGTAAATGTGTGGCCACGTCTGTGGTTGAAAATAATAATAATAAAAAAAACTCTATATTTTATCCTACCTGTTAATTATTTATTCACGTTTAAATGACTTAATAATTTTCTGCTATATTTAAATTTGCTCCTTCAGTTCTGTCAGAACCCCTGTCACGGAACCCCCGTCAGGGAACCCCTGTCGTGGAACCCCTGTCACGGAACCCCTGTCAGGGAAACCCGTGTCGTGGAACCCCTGTCACGGAACCCCCGTCAGGGAAACCCGTGTCGTGGAACCCCTGTCACGGAACCCCTGTCACTGGTTCTCTGTCATACTGTCACTCGTCTTGAATTATTATCCAAAGGACTTTAACCCAGACTTTGATCAGGAAGTTGATGCCGTTTCAATAAAACTTTAAAGATATCAAACTTAGAAAGCGCGGGGCTTTGAACTTAAGTTTCATTCTGTCAGATGCAGAAATAAGTGGTTTGTTTTGATTGGTCGGGCCGCAGCACCTGTCATCGTAAGGTGCCATATGTCTGATGGGTTTGATGGGAAAAAAATGCTTTGAAGATGGTAAACACTGAGAAAATGCTAAGAAAAACACAACGAAGAAAACACCGAGACTCTTCCAAGAACAAGAAACATCGTCGTGTGTTCTGTGTGTGTTGCTTAGTTGTTATTAATAATCTGCTGATCTGTCAGGCAGCAGCGATGGTGGGTGTTGGGACGCTGAGTAAGGTCACTACAGTGAGATCTGTACATAACGGGGCCTCAGTTTTGTCTTCGGTGGAGGGTCAATATAAGGGCTATACGAGGGTGTGGTGGTCATTAAGGTCAACACGGGAGAGGGGGTCATTAAGGGCAATACGGGGGGTGATATACAGTAGGTGGGATCAGTGTGGTCTATACCTCAGGGTACTACAGGGTACTGCAGGGTATAGTCCTTGCACCACTGCTTTTCCTTATTCTCATATCAGATATAGACCCAAATACAAGGCACAGCTTCGTATCATCCTTTACAGATGGCACTAAAATCAGCATGAAGACTACCTCTGCTGAAGACACTGAAAAACTACAAACGGATATTAATAAAGTTTTCGACTGGGCAGCAGAAAATAACATGTTTAACAATGATAAATTCCAGGTACTCAGGTACGGTAAAAATGAGGACCTTTTTTGGGTCCTCATTTTGAGGAAAATGAGGAAAAATGAGGAAAAGTAGGGGCCTCGTAGCCTGGTGGATAGCGTGCAGGACTCGTAATTCTATGGCGCGGGTTCGATTCCCGCACGAGGCAGAAACAAATGGGCAAAGTTTCTTTCACCCTGAATGCCCCTGTTACCTAGCAGTAAATAGGTACCTGGGAGTTAGTCAGCTGTCACGGGCTGCTTCCTGGGGGTGGAGGTCTGGTCAAAGACCGGGCCGCGGGGACACTAAAGCCCCGAAATCATCTCAAGATAACCTCAAGATAGCCCATAGTACGAAAGCAACATGTTAGGGATTTGGGAATAATGATGTCTGACGACCTAACGTTTAGGGAGCATAACCAAGCATATATCGCGTCAGCCAGAAAAATGATAGGATGGATTACGAGAACTTTCACATCCAGGGATCCCATCACAATGGTTGTACTCTTCAAATCAATTGTATTGTCCCGTCTTGAGTACTGCTCAGTACTCACTTCCTCCTTCAGAGCAGGAGAGATTGTTGAAATAGAGGGAGGGTATCTTGAGATGATTGAAATACAGAGAACATATAAGGCATACATAGACGCGATTAAGCACCTAAATTATTGGGATCGTCTCAAAACTCTCCAAATATACTCACTAGAAAGGAGACGAGAGAGAGAGATAAAATAATATATACGTGAAAAAAATACTGGAGGGCCAAATCTGCATAGTAAAATAACAACGATTTGAAAATGCGAAAATACGATATGGAAGAAAATGCAGAATAGAACCAGTGAAGAGCAGAGGTGCCATAGGCACAGTCAGAGAACACTGTATAAACATCAGAGGTCCACGGATGTTCTACATCCTCCCAGCGAGTATAAGAAATATTGCCGGAACAACCGTGGACATCTTCAAGAGAAAACCTGATAGTTTTCTTCGAGAAGTGCCGGACCAACCGGGCTGTGGTGGGTATGTGGCCCTGCGGGCCGCTCCAAGCAACAGCCTGGTGGACCAAACTCTCACAAGTCAAGCCTGACCTCGGACCGGGCTTGGGGAGTAGAATAACTCCCAGAACCCCATCAACCAGGTATCAACCAGGTATAAAACCTGTACCATGTGATGGTCACTACAGCCGGGCCATGAGATTGAGGTCAATAAAGTCTATAAGGGATCAGCAGGCTTGGTCAAAGACAATATAGGCCTTTAGACATTAAGTTACTATTACCTATAATGCTGGAGCAGCAGTTTATTGAATGTAAATATACCGAAGAAATAAAGAAGTATTTTTTGGGGGGAGACAGCTTTTGTTTTTTATATTTGGGAAAAAGTTTCACAATGTCATGACCTAAAGCAGGCCTAAACACCACCACCTGTCCCTGTGGGTTACACCACCACCTGTCCCTGTGGGCTACACCACCACCTGTCCCTGTGGGCTACACCACCACCTGTCCCTGTGGGCCACACCACCGCCTGTCCCTGTGGGCTACACCACCACCTGTCCCTGTGGGCTACACCACCGCCTGTCCCTGTGGGCTACACCACCGCCTGTCCCTGTGGGCCACACCACCGCCTGTCCCTGTGGGCTACACCACCACCTGTCCCTGTGGGCCACACCACCACCTGTCCCTGTGGGCCACACCACCACCTGTCCCTGTGGGCTACACCACCACCTGTCCCTGTGGGCTACACCACCACCTGTCCCTGTGGGCTACACCACCACCTGTCCCTGTGGGTTACACCACCACCTGTCCCTGTGGGCTGCACCACCACCTGTCCCTGTGGGCTGCACCACCACCTGTCCCTGTGGGCTACACCACCACCTGTCCCTGTGGGCTACACCACCACCTGTCCCTGTGGGCTACACCACCACCTGTCCCTGTGGGCTACACCACCACCTGTCCCTGTGGGCTACACCACCACCTGTCCCTGTGGGCTACACCACCACCTGTCCCTGTGGGCTACACCACCACCTGTCCCTGTGGGCTACACCACCACCTGTCCCTGTGGGCTACACCACCACCTGTCCCTGTGGGCTACACCACCACCTGTCCCTGTGGGCTACACCACCCGTGTTGATGCACCAGGCAAGGTGCTGCGGTGTATATACAAGTATTTGATATACAGAATGAAGTGTGCTTCGAGGTAGGTAGGTAGGCAGGAAGGCAAACTAGTAGGTAGGTAGGCTGGTAGGTGGTATTGGTAGGTCGGACAGGATGGAGTTACACAACAAGTGGGGTTCCCCTGGATCAAAGGCCACAGCCCAATACTGCTGGCGACAGGTCGGATTACCTGTCCGAGGCTGACGTTGTCTCTGCTATACAGATGGCTGGTTGATTAGGCACACCCTTCCCTCCCCCACTCCACCTCCCTCCCACAATCCCCCCTTCCCACTCCCTCTACCCCACTCCCCACTCCCCACTCCCTCTACCCCCACTCCCCCATGTCGTCCCTCACCACATCCTTTGAGGGGCGACAGTGCGAAAAGATCCATACGAATGCCCAATAGGTTAGTGGGACTGAACAGTCTGTAGAGATATAATCCTCATATTATTGTTTTCTGATTGTTGTGGAACAGGTGGGAAAAGATGGGGACTTCAAGACGCCGTAGTTACGCACTAACTGTGGCTGTTAGAAATCAGTCCTAACATATGCAAGATTGTGGGAAGTACAAAAGGGGAAAAAAATTAGTGGGTAAGGTTTGTCCTGTAATATATACCAGTAAATTAATGATCAAGAGGCGGGACTCGTAAGCTGGAGCTCATTCTCAACAAACACAGGTTATAATACATTAAATTAATTTATTTGTAACAATTTACGCAAGTTGATACAATTCTGACTTGACGGGTGTGCATCAGGGTAA